CCACCACAGCCTCAACCTGCTGGGCTCCAGCGATCCTTCCGCCTCAGTCTTCCCAGTAGCCGGAATTACAGGCGCGTGCTACCACGCCCGGCTAATTTTTTTGATATCTTGTAGAGGTGAGGTCTCGCCAAGTTGCCCAGGAGGGTCTCAAACCTGTGGGTTCAGGCAATCCACTCACCTCAGCCTCCCAAAGCGCGGGATTGCAGGCTGAGCCACCGAGCCCGGCTAAAAAAATAGTAATTTTTTAAAACTAAATAAAATAAGACTCCAGAGCACGGCCTTGCCACTTACACCATGTGAGACAACAGAGAAAAGATGGCCCCTACGAAGCAATTCCTTACCAGACACGATCTGCAGCACCTTGATCTTGAGCTTCCCAGCTTCCAGAACTGTGAGAAGTAAATTTTTATGGTTTATAAGCTGCCCAGTTTATGGTATTTTGTTATAATAGCCCAAATGGACTAAGACAGTGACAGTGACCAAGTGACTTCCTTTCTCTGAACCTCAGTGTCCTCGTCTGTAAAATTGGAACTATACATGCATCATAAAGTTGCAAGAATTAAATACATGGCAATCATTTAGAATAGTCCTGGCACCATATAAGCACCTCCTAGATCACATCTCTCATCAGAACTGTGCTTACTAAGAGTGAAACTGAGCCACATATCTGCATAGTCATGGTTAAGAGTGTGGGCAAGCCGGGCTCAATGGCTCAGCCTGTAATCCCGCGCCTTTGGGAGGCAGAGGTAAGTGGATTGCCTGAGCCCGCGGGTTTGAGACCCGCCTGGGCAGGCGAGACCTCACCTCTACAATAAATAAAAAAAAAAATTAGCCGGGCGTGGTAGCGCACACCTGTAGTTCCAGCTACGTGGAAGGCTGAGGCGGAAGGATCGCCGGAGCCCTTCAGGTCGAGGCTGCGGTGGCCGGGAGCAGCCACTGCACTCCAGTCTGGGTGACAGAGTGAGACTCCAACTCAAAAAAAAAAGAGTGTGGGCAATAGCTCACGCCTGTAATTCCAGCAATAGGGATACTGAGGCAAGAGGATTGCCAGAGCCCAGAAGTATGAGACCAGCATGGGCAACATGGCAAGACCTTGTCTCTATAATAAATAAAAATTAGTTGGGCATGGTAGCATGTGCCTGTAGTCCCAACTGCCTAGAAGGCTAAGGTGAAAGGATCACCTGAGCCCAGCAGGCAGAGGCTACAATAGCAGTGATTGTGCCACTGCACTCCAGTCTGGGTGAGGGTAAGGCTCTGAATCAAAAAAAAAAGGATGTCTGGAGGCATGGGACACAAGAAAAGGGTGCAGCTCCCATTCTGGGGCACAAGCTACATGTTGGGCTATGCTAGGTGACTTTAGTTAGCAGCTGCCACCATGGTCACTTCTTCTTATCCCTGGGAAGGGGCGGTATTCAATGGTAGTGATGCCTAGACCAGGAAGGAAACCGAGACAGGCCACCTCCCAAGAACACACAGACACACTCTTTAAGTTAGAATTTTTTTAAAAACCTTCTAATAAAATCTTTCAACATCTTCCAGCCCTTCCCTCCTTCCCCAGACGTCAGCCCAGGGTGATGCCCACAGAGGCCAGGGCTTCTGTGGCCCAGGTGGGGCAGAGGGTGGGGTCCCCGTACATGGTGGCCATGAAATCCTGCACGAAGTCAGGGAAGCGCTTCTCCACGATGCTGGTGCGCACGGCGCTCATAAGCCGCAGCTGCAGAGAGAGGGTATCAGCTTGGCCAGGGCGCCAGGAGACCCCGCCCGCCTGCCCCTGTGGGCCCTGCCCACCTGATAGGCGATGTTGTGGACGGTGAGATGGTGCAGGGCAGCCGTGTTGTCGCTGTGCAGCAGTGCATGTAGAAAGGCGCGGCTGTGCCTGCGGACCAGCAAGGACACTCAGCAGAGCTGGGGCCGGCCCTCCATGCCTCCCCCACCCCCTGACACCCTTGCCTACGTCTGGCAGGTGGGGCAGGTGCACTCAGGGTCTATAGGGCCAAAATCCTTCTCGAACAGCTTCTTTTTCAACTGCAGGTTCCCAGTGGGCACCAGGGCAGAGCCAAAGCGCTGGGAAGGGAAGGGCAGGGGACATTGGGTTAACCGCACCTTCACCCTCCCCACCAACCCCCGCTGGCCCCTCCCCCATCCGCTTCCCCTGTCTGCCCCCTGCCAAGGCCTCACCGCTGTCCGAGTAGGGAAGACGCAGTCGAACATGTCGCATCCAAGAGCCACGCAGACCACCAAATCGGTGGCATAGCTGGGGTGCAGCCATGGAAAAGTGGGGCAAAGCGCCTCAAGCGGCCCCCTCAAGCCCTTACACTCCCCGAAACTGAGCCATATTCCCTCAGA